TATTATCACTGCTTCAGTGTAATTACAGTCAAAATGATTAGCAGTCATACATTGATCCTCCTGCTGGACACTCCGTGAGGTAACCCTCCCAGGTACAGTCTCTTGTCCACATCCAGGCGGTGTCCTTTGATTGTGATGGGCTCTGGAGGTGAACCATCAACAGAAACCCACATTGATCGTCGGTTCACCTCCACCCTGACCTGAGAGGGTTACATGTGATTGTTCAGTGTAATCTGAACTTCCATCACAAACTGATGTACCAAATAAGAACTCACATCATGCCACTCGCCATCATTAATAACAAGAGATGAGGCAATAGAGGCGGGGCCTTTTCCAAAGTCAGTTGACAACCTGACACGGCCCTCTTTGAGACTGAGGGCCACAAAGTCCATCAGTTTGGAGTAAGAGAGAAGAATTATCAGTCCTTCCAGACCACGGCTTCGAAGTACCAACCTCATGGATATACTGAGGAGGAGAAAACATAAAACACACAACAAACAACACAACAGGTAAACAATAGACATTACAGTAGTACTAGGTAAATCAGATATTTTTTATACAGAACAGCAACAGACTTCCACCCAACCCTTCCATGGAGTCATGGATACTCACCTTTTCTGAGCTGTTCTGGGGTTGATGAAGGTCATGTGACTGTGTCTGGATAAACCAAACTGAGCTGCTGATGGCAGAAAGGTAGGATTTTCATCTGAAACACACTGGATCCCAAACAGATGAAGAAAACTCATTTCGTTGATCGATAAATGTCCACAAATTTCTTTATCAATTAATAAAAAAAAACTGTTATAATATTACATTATTGATGAATAATTGTCTCTAAATTCTTTACAGATAAGTGCCATATTTACCTGTAAAGTTTGAGGTGTGGATACACTTTGGTGTTTAGGTTGGGCTAAAGGCAGATCTACAGGGTCAGATGCTGATTCTACATCCTGGTTTTCAGGAAGCATTGCCCTTCTACCCCTCTCCTCAAATAAGCAACTGTTAAGCTCTGCGCCCTCATACCTGACTGCTGCTGATAGGTCAACAGGTCTGCAAAGAGCCACCAATCAAGAGTTAACCAGTTAGAAAGACAACACACAGACACTCTGTTTGAAAGATTAACTTACATTCTGTCCATCACTACATGTTGGATGCAACCTCTAAATGACCTGCTTAAAGCACGCAATCTGATTGGCAGACAGGTCTTGTTCTCAGGTGGGACACCACCAACGAATAAAGATAAGGGGGACAACTGAGAAAACGGGACTTCTGACATCAGAGAAACAGATTTTAAGTGTCCGTCATCCACCTGCAAGGACAAAGATCTGACAGACTAAAAGGTGAGACAGTGCATACTGGTGGGACATGTGAGATCTGTCAAGTTCAAAGGAACACCTACTTTCTGTTGATAGAAACAATCACAGAGTGTTTTTTTCCTTCACTGAAAGATCCTTCATCAGATTTCATCACTGTGACGGCACCAGTGGCTCCAAATACACCCCCAAGCTCCACCTCTACAGCACCTGAGACCAGGTGAACTGACAGGAAGTGCTGCAAACACACAATCATGCAGTATGTAGCATCATGTGGTGTCAGGGTGTGCCATGTAACTTGTGAGTCTCACCTGTTTGTGTGTTCGGTCTTTACCAAAGGCAGCCAGAAGGAGTCCTGACTGCTTGTTGGAGGAAAAGGTAAGGAGAAGCTCCACCTCCTCACTGAATGATGGAGGAGGTATCTGGACAAAGCCTCCAGGCAAAATGGACACACTTCTCACCGCCTAGTCAATCAATCAATCAATCAATCAATCAATCACTCAATCAATCAATCAATCAATCAATCAATCAATCAATCAATCAATCAATCAATCAATCAATCAGATCAAATGATTTAGTTTGATTTTAACATTTGTCTGGTTCAGTTGTGTAGCATGTGTCAGGTTTCAGGACTATGGATGGTGTTGATGCTCCTTTGAGCCAACAACACAATGGTGTCAATTCTGTCAGATAGGTTGTGGTATTCCTGTTTTTTTTTTTTTTAAAGTTAACCAAATATTTTGATTGTTGAGGATGCTTCTCTTCTAACTAAAGTCCCTTCTTATCTGAGGAATCTTATCAATTCAACTCAGGAAGAACACCAGCAAACAGATGAAGAAGTCTTGGGTTTTAGCCATCCAGAGCTTCCAAAAAGTTCTGAATCAAATTTTCAGTCAGGTTGATTTGAATTTACAACTTGGTGCATGTGATGACAGCATCTCTCATTTAAACCAAGACCTTCCGGAGGGAGAGAGGTTTTCATGTCAGATCAATTTGCATAAATGGAAAATGTCACTGTAGCKTAAAGTTTGGACTTACTCTGTTTTAGTTTAAACTGCAGAAGAATCTCAGGTGAAAAGCAAAATGCTTACAAATCCAAAACAATACCAGCCTCCTTCATTTAAGTTTACCCAACCTGTCCTACCCTGGTTGATTGAGAAATTTAATAATATTAATAACCTTCTCTAGCATAACACATGTTCATTCTACTTGTGAATTTATAAAAACATCAGTACACATTGTTTGTATTAATWCACAGTACCGTGAGAAGGCAACCTTTCTGGACTCCATATGCATCTCTCAGCAGGTCAAAGTTGGAACGGGCAATCTCAACATTCTTTATACAGCCAACATATGACCTAGAAACAACCTGTTGTCTAGCAGCCAGAAAGATAACCAGGTGAGAGCATAAATAAAATATCTGTACTCAGATCATTTTCTGCTGATTTTACCTGACTGGTGTGGAAGACGGAAGTCCTCCGATATAGACTGGGTCAAGGTCAGAGCGGTTAAGGTCAGAAGCTGTTCCTGGAGACTCTGCCTCCAAAACCTCCTTATCTGATGATTGGTCTTCTGCCATTATAGACAGGTAACCTGGGCTCAAACAGTAATACCATTGCTTAGCTTTATCATTACTACTAAATACCACTGAAAATGGCAATCTGTAGTCCCAAACATCAGTTTTGTAGTCACAGTACCTTTTTGTTTGTTCCTCTGCAGTGTGATTTTGTACCAAACTCCTGTGTTGTACCTCCTGTTTGAGGTCTGGATTAAAGCACCTGATCCCAGGTCAAAGGTCAGACAGACATGCCCCTCTACTAGCTCCAAAGACAAGAAGTCCCTCTGAAAGAGCAAGACAGGGAAGTCTTAAACATGTCTCCTTCAGTAAAAGCCCTGTGTGTGTGGTGGGGGTTACCATGTTGATAGAAGCCAGGTACAGCAGCAGCCCACTTGGAGACAGAGTTTTAAACAGCATCACAATGGAAGTGGATGTTGCTTTCAGAGACTTGTGGACCACAGAGAAACCAGAACCATCGAAGTGGAAGGATGTCTCCTCTGCTTGGGGACTGAGAGACAGATGGGGGTAAATATTACATATCTGAGAGGTTCAAAGGTTATCTGAGCTTATACCTTGTGCGTTCCACTTGTTTTGATTCTACTGTAGTACATGTACTTGCAAACTAAACTGAAAATAGTTTTAGGTTTGCCAGTTTCCCTGATGAAAGAATGTTTGTTGATAATGTTGAATATGCCATCTTAAAAGTTATGATGTAGTGTTCCAGTGTAGATCCAGATAGGCATCATCTGGAGCAAGAATATCTATCAATGCTTGAAAACATGTTAATCTGTGGAGACGGTGTCTGTTCAAGTGTTTGTGATCATCCATCCATCCGTTTTCTGTACACGCTTCTTCCTTTTCAGGGTTGCGTGGGTCACTGGTGCCCATATCCAGC